TGATGTGGTTCAAGGTGTCCCTGCTCCTGCAGGGGGGTTGGGCTGGGTGACCTCTGGGGGTCCCTTCCAACCCAAAACCTTCTGTGATTCTATGAAATAGTCTGAGGGCAAAAACTCAGCGACCTGGGGCAGCTGCGGGGGTCTGGTGTGTGCTTACCTCTGAGCCGAAATACCGAAGGAGGGGCAGCCCCGGGTGTAGCCGTTCAGGGCTGGGCTGAAAATTCCTGACATGATTCACTTTAAGTCTTACCTAAACAACCATGCTGAACCTGTTACGAACTGGGGCGCAGGCGAGGGGTTCCAGCTTGTGCTGGGCACTCCTGGTGGGTGGCTTTGTGCCCCTGAGCAGGTTACTGTCCCACTGGAAACGGGAGCTTCCCAAAGGCTGCGCCCCGGGCAGATCCTTGAGGCTGCTAGACTCAGGCTTTCTGGAAGTACGTTGTGTTTGAGCTCCACCCAGACCTGCCCTGTGCGTTTTCATTAACAAATACGAGTGTTTACACTGAAATCACACTTGCCTACAATGCTGCTATTTTTTTTTTTTGCACTGCTAGGAGTAGTAACTGGATTTTGCTTATTATTACTTCGGTATTTAACATAGGGGTGTTTTGGCGAGTAATTTATTTAGTGGTTTGAAACTCAACTTCCAGATCAGTGGTGTTGACCTGTTCTCTGAAACCTTGTGCTGCGTCTGACACGTTTCCTGCTCAGTTGGTTTTAAAGGACGCTGACCACTCTCATTGCAACGGGGGATTTTCTTTGCTGCTGCTCTCTTAGTAAGGTGACAGCAGGAGGCTGGCCTAGAACAGACCTAGTTACTAATCTAAGTGAAACAGGAGTGAGAAAGCACGGTACCGCTGTTCTGTTGCTTTCTGATCCTTGTTCTGATCGCTGAGTCCTGTATCACTCATTTTTCTTGGTCCTTCAGCTGGTGTACGGCTTGGCCCGCAGCTGCGTGCTGTGCACAGCGGGGTGGGTGATGTAGCTTGCAGCTACAGCTCCGACTTCCCGGCAGCAGCGTCCGCGTTCATTTTTCACTCCCTGCTCTGTCTCTCTGTACAAATAAAAAGCGAAGCAAACAATCCAGGACTCCTTTACTCACGCGCGTGCTGTTTGGTGTTAACTGGGCCGTATGAGGCCGTCCCATTTCCCACCGCCGATCATCGTACAGTTCTTACCCCCTTTTCGGTGGCGAGGGAAGGGGCAGGACAGCGGCTGGGGGAAGCCCTTGTTTTCAAGGATGTTTTAGCAAGGCACTGCTAACAGCACACTGAAAATCGAAGCTCGTCCTGCAAGCGTAGCGCGATTACCAGCGGACACGAACAGGTAAAGTTCAGTTAACTCGGCTCTGAAGCCCACCCGGTCTCAATCAAGAGCCAGCCAAAGCAGCCCAAGGATTTCCAAACCCAGCACGTCCTGAATTGTGGTTGCACATTGAAACACCAGGCCAAAAAGCACAAAAAAATAAAAAGAGTTCGTGCTTGGTCTCACTTTCAGGAACGGGTACAAACAGCACCGACGCTGTGGACATAGCATCAGTTTCAAGAACTTCAAAAGCCAGTTAGAGTTTTGGAACAAACTAGAGGTATTTGTAACTCTGAGCTTCTGCTTTCCCCCGTAAGCCTCAGGCTTCCTTGGAAAGGGAAGCTGGGCTCTGCTTTCATACAGCAGTCTCAGCATTAATATTAAACGTACCACACAACCCTCTGCTGGTCTTCTCCCATCTCCGTTCCTCGCAAGAAGGTTCAGACAGAAGCTAATCCAAGGGCTGAAGTCCTGCCGCCACCGGCCTTTCGCTGCCTGAGCACCGTCCGAAGCCCACCCGGTCTCAATC